AAAATATATATTTTCCTTATATATTTCCTTACAAAATGCATCTTCAGTTACATGAAAAGTAAAGTTTTGGTGTTTAAATTATTTAAAATGCTGCTAAAATCGCAAACTGACAGGAGGACTGAGTGAGACCCGGTGAGACCCGGTCAGACCGGACTCTGGCCCCGCAGGATGCTCCTCTCACCTCCTCTGTCCTGCGCCCCGGTGCCCGCGCCTCTCCCGCCGCTCCGCGCGCGGTTCAGGGACACGTTGCTCTGCGCCGGCTCCGGTACCGGCACCGGCGGGCTCACGTGAGAGAACAGCAGCTCCGTGGCGTCGTTCTTGAAGGCCTGGCAGCTCCTCAGGAGGATGCAGAGCAGGAAGAGGGACCGGAACGGGTCGTGCGCGCGGAGGCGCATGGTGGCTTTATTGTTCAGGTGACGTGCACGAGCGGATGAAAAAGTCAAATATAAGATTATAACAAGTGTTGCTGAGAGCCTCTGTGTGTGAGAGAAGAGTGGTTTTATACAGAAACCAGCCCGCCTCTTGCTCAGGCAGCGACTCAGGTGCGACTTCTTTACGAGGCTCTGATTGGTCGCCAATGAATTGATAACTCCGCCCAGTTTAGGGCTTTTATTTTGAAGAGTGATTGAAAACCAATAAAACCACTAATCAAAGGCTTGCTGCTTGACATTACCCATCTTTATGATGAGAAATAAAAGTTTTAGACATTTCTGTCAAACTTTGAAAATTATACATACACTTATAGCTATTATTATTTATTTATTTTTAGATTTAGATTTATTTTGGTAAATTTACATTACAAGATAAGGAAAATAAAATGAAACACTTACAAATACTAATCAATAATTTACCGAAAACAGAGGAGGTTGAAGCCAAGGCTTTTACTAACAGCTATTCATTGCAATAAAGTGAAATTTGTCCAGTGGTTTTTGACATATTTACGTAATATTCATTTAAAAACAAAATAATCTATATACACTAAAATCAAAACAAGTCATTAATAAAAAGAAAGGAGGCAGAAAGAAAGAATAAAATCTTATCATATCTGCCCCTTTTTTCACAAAATTTAATTCAAACATAAATAAAGGAAACTGATGAACAAGACAAGGCTTCATGTGGGAGGTGGGAATTATGCTCATCTTGGTTTAATCAGTTCTGATGTCAGCTTAATAATTACTTTTCAAAAGTTTCAACAGTTCAGCAGCCTTTTTTTTTTTTTACAAGATCTGTGTTTTACTTTCTTCACTATCAGGATCTTTTCGTTTTTTTGCCCTCAGGTGTTTCATTTAGGACTGAAAGGTGACACTGGCTGAGTGTAATCCTCCCGCCAGGTCCAGGTCTAATGGTGCACTGCTCAGACTCTCTGGAGACTTTGTGTGTCGTTCAAAACAAGGAGACAGATCTGCACCACCCTAACCTGACTCGTCTGATGGATAAGAAAAGTGCAAAGACACTGATTGTAGCTCAGTTAAATGAAACGTGAGCTTGGTTCATGATCACAAAACAGCTTTTAGGAATGTCATCTTCTTCTTAAGAGAAAAGCTGTGCGGGTTGATCCTCGACTGTTCGGGACATAAGGGGTTTATTTTTTTTTTATTTCTTAAAAATTAATCAGAAGAAGCCCTTCAAATGAGGTGAAACAACTTTAKGAAGTAAGAAAAGGACTCCTCTTATCACATATTGAACTTTTAGGATTGTGGGACTTTTGAACAGAGAAACAACCTCTCATTCTGGAGTTTGTGGAAGAATTTGTATCTTGGAGCTACCTGATATGTATGATTTGAAATATTCTCAGCGAATGAGCAGTCTGTCTTTACACCTTCACTCCAACTGTTATTGTTTCCTGTCTCTTTTGTTCCTCCTCAAACAGAGACGCCCCAGGCTCCTTCAGTCCACTTCCGAGGGAAAATAAAGGACAACATGGTCGCCTCTTCCCAAAGGACTGTTTACTCTTCACCACCTCTGAGCTTTGAGTTTATGAGATTTGGGGTAAAATGAATGCTGAAAAGTAAATTTGATGGGCGCAAGATTTTGTGTTCTTGCTATGTAAAGAAAAAAACCGTGAGACGTGCTGCCCTCTCTCTGCGTGCTGAAGCTCAGCAYCAGGAACTGGTTGGCTGCAGGTTCACTGCATGTTGACAAGCATGGCAGGAGTGTGGACAGGAAGTGCCCCCTGTGCTGTAATAAAAGGTGTGGCCAGGCCGGAGCAGGAGAGGGGAGGGGCATGAGTGGATARGCACAACACCTTGAACAAAACCGAGAAGGGTCACTGAGGTCATACAGTTAGGAAGAGTTTCCAAAAGTAGACAGGATGGGCCTCGTGCAAGAACCGTTCGTACGCACAGATTTGTTCTTAAA